TCCCGCACGACATTCTACGTTATGTTCTGTTAAATGTGCACATTCACCATGTTTCTCGCTTTTGCACTACCTGTACAATGGGGAAGCAGAATTAAACAACTCTATTACGACGAGGAAAGCGATGCCCAAAAGTCAAAAAACCTAATAGTAGACAAAATCATTAACTTTACCTGGTCCAACTTTTTCAATTCGTCAAGTCGCATAAGCTGGCACGCCCTTTTGATTTCAGAAATACCCAAGATGCCAAGAGGGTCAGAACGAAGCCGATAATTTAAATCTCCAAACCAAAAAATGTAACTAAATAAACAATATGATGTCATGTTTTACAGAATGATGATAAAATAACTTCACCGCTCTATGCAATACATGGATCAGGAACAAATGTTAAAATGAATTTGAAGAGCACTATGACTTAATAACATATACTTATAGACAAGAAAAGGCAGAATTGTGCGCTTAAGGTCCGCTGACGAACTCGTCAAATATTTGTTAATTAATCACACAGAAACAGATATATACTATTCAATGGGCAGAAGCACACAAAATTACGTAAATGAATATTTAAAAAACAAAAAACATCCTGTGACCGTTCAGATGTCTGTTTAATTTACGCTTCCATTATTGGCGTTGTTCGCCGTGAGCCCACTTGACCAGCAACATTTCGACAACTGGGTCCTGATCAACTTTCGATGCCATCAACCAGGAGTGACCTATTTTTGAAGACAACGCCTAAAGTTTTGTGACCACTACAGCTCGTCGTTTCAATTCCTACCTCGTGCCAACATAGTGGCATTAATGCCAATTTCAGAAGGGTGAAGCGCACTGACTTAATCGAACTGTGAGCATGCAATTTTATTCAATGCGAGGCCGGGATATCAAAGTACTGTTTAGTACCAGTAAAAAACATTAATTTCATCTATTGTTGTCTATATATTATCTACCAAATCTTTGTCAGCATATTCTTTATGGCCACCAATATTATGGTGATCACTTGACACGATCAATTAAGGAGACAAGATAACCAGAAGATCATAAATCCTGTCATGAATTTAAGATAAATCTGCTTAAACGAACGACACTCTGACCGCTACCCAGGTGGAGTTGAGTCGAATCCAGGGCAACTGTTCTAATTAATCTCCAACAACAACATGACAATATCTAGTTTTCGTACTGTTTCACCTTAAAGCAGCTCAGATGAAGCCTAGAAACCATCTATTTGTAACTCAATTTCAATGCGAAACTTCACCCTACGTTCGAAAACGTAGAAGCTATTATGTTTCATTTAAATAATCTTCAGGTATTTGATTCTGGGTCCAGAGTTATATAGGAAGGTGTCCGAAAGATTCATGGCTCAGGGCAGCCAAACACAACAGATGGTACTATACTTTATTGCCGAAGTAGTTCGCTACATAGATCGCAGCATTATTAAATCTAGAACAAATACAAATGACTGCGTGAAGGCATTTATGTCCAACGAGCGAACAATACTTCACAATCAAAATGTTATTAAACTGATCAACCAGGATGTTTACCAACAAATAGTGCATAACAGTCGGATCACTGTTGTGTAAACAGTCTATCGTATCAATTTTGCAATCGTCCCCCAGCTTTATCTAATAACCACAGAAGACACCCTTGCGCTGGGTTCTCGATTCAGCATTGCCAGTCTCACTAACTGCACATCTGACATTGTGGTTGGCGTAGAGGAAGATTCCCATCACTTCAGTGAAAGACCGAAAAGTCATAAGGAAGAAATCCTTTCGAGCGTTCGCCGTACCGTCCGCAAAAACATAAATAAATCTCGTCCTAACCTGGTTGCTTGCCATGCTTTACCCAGTAAAATACTGAAGAAAAAGTTAAAGGATAACAACATAATAGTCCTCTGCGCTGACAAAGGAGCGAAAGCAGTGATGATGTTTGTTGTCAATATGACGCGAGAATATTGGTTCATTTCAAAAATAGCGATGTATACACCAGACTTCGAAGTAACGCCAAATCTGACAAGACAACGCGCCGTAAACTGCTGGAGGTTGTAAGGAATTCACAAAATAAAAGTTCGTCACCCAAAAAGGTGTACAGAATATCCCGCCAAGTATTGATTCCTATGTAATCCCAATATCCTTCGAATTAGTAATAGTCCATAAGACTAACAAAATATTGCATGTTATACCGATTAATGGAACAGTAAAATATCAGACTGCCAAAAGGCTACATCTGTTACTGAAACCTGCAGCTAAGGAGATGACTTAGAGAGAAAAAGAGAGAAAGGAGTTTCTATACAAACCGCAGGAATATGATCATCAAGCAATCATTTGTACTTAGTCCAATCCCCGGTCTATGTAGCGAGCGAAACGCGTCGGCAATAAACTGTTTTTCCATTTGTTGCATTTGGTGCTCTGAACCATTAATAGTTCTAACATCTATCTACATAATGTTTCATCATATCACCATTGAGGAAATACGAATTATGGCCGTTTATTCTTCCAGCCTAGCCTGTAGTATTTAGACCGTTCTTCTCATAAAGAAATCAGTCGTGAAAGCAAGAACGAATCTCTAAAATTACGATCTCCGCCGCTTCAGTGTATGATGCTTATAGCGGACCTCCGACGGTAAAAATTTAAACTTACAGGTTACATGGCACGATGACTTAGTCAGACAGCAGGTGGATAAATGCGAATAGCAGCCGTCAAAACAGTCATCAGAAGAAATAGTTTTTAATCTAACATACCTAGCCACGAACATGCCAGAACGCCATCTGTCCCCATTATTTGCAGATCAACGACTTACTGCCGGTTTCTCGACTGCTCGTACACCCAATTTAAGCGGGAAGAATTCGGCACTCGAACGAACTAGCAGATTATTTTTAAAAAAAACTTTATGCCATCTTGGGAAAAGGACCAGCAGCGTGATTCTAGGAAAATAATTACTAATCACCGCAGCATTTCGACGTTTCATCCTGATATGTTAGAGCAACGATTCATTAAATAGTCTGCTTCTTGCTTGACAAAGGAACGATGAATAAGAATCTTTCTATTCCTCTAAGATTTAGATAGCCAGAGTATCTTTTTCTAAAGAGATTTCTGATCCTATGAATCAAAAAGCATTGTCACTCCTGCACACAATAGCTTGTTAATATACTATTTCAAATGACTTTAACTGGCTTACCGTTAGCTGAGAAAAACAAACATAAGCACATCTCGCAAAGCATGCCATCTCGTATTTTGTTGTCGGTGGGTCTCAAACATATACATGAGTAGCTTGATTTAGGACATCTGAGTTTTTAACCACAGAAAAACCTAAATTTCTGAGACAACTGCCAAAATCAGATTGCCAAACAACACTGCCCATCGGTGGTCGCAATCACCTCTACATACTCTTACATTCTTAGACGTACTCGTGATCAAAAATCCCCAGCGAAAGTGCGTTCGAGAAGTACCGAAAGAAGCGCAGTTTACTGATTTCTCTAAAATCCTGGAAAAAAGTCGAGTAAACCAGAGACATGCATCTACGCCGCAAAAACTGTACCTGGTTTCTTCTATCTAGCTCGTCATATCCCG